GGACAAAAAAACAAACCTGCATAGAAATCGGAATAATAGGTCTTTTGATTATCGGAGACGCATTTCAATGGACTTGATTACGGACAATGCATAACTTAAATTTCACCAGGAAATTCCGCAGTGTGCTCTCGCAATCGCGTACTTAGTCATTTTTACAAGGTTCGCCATTTTTGATGTCACGTGATAATTATGTAAACAATGTCTGTCCAGTTTGTGCGAACTTGCACCTCTATACTTAGTCTTTTGATATATATAACCTAAATTACTGTTCTGAACGAGACAACAGACAGAGAATGTTTTATTTAAAAACGTCACAAAACCTTCTCGCTACCTTAAGTCAATACAAACCTCAGATCCACAGTTCAATTTGTTAGACAATGAGGCAAAGTTTGTGTATATTATGGACAACACATAAAGAACTTGCCGTTACATTAACAAATATAAATCTTAACTATTGGTATCCTCGGGGCGGAGCTACGTCACAGGACGTTCCACATTGCTAAGACGCGCACCACTGTACTTGCATTTCTATGGGCTCTGTGCGCGCTGCTGTGGAACGCCGGTCGAGCCGGTGAAAATTCGAGAAAACAACACAAACTCAACTTTGAAGTAATGCCGAACAGCCAAATTTATATATGTTACACACGTAGGGCTAATCTTGTTACACTGTTCAGGGGAGTCTCAACAATCATCCCAAAGTACCGTTTTCTGCGAGTTTTGGGCCTTTGTTTTCACCGCCACGGTTGCCAAGCGGTGAAAATGTCCGGATGGCCGCCCCGAGGATATATTTTACATTACTTTATTTTAAATCAGTATTGTTTTTAGAATAATATTATGTGACAATTATAATGTAATCACTAACAAATAAATAAAACCATGCACATTGAGCAGCCATCGATATGCTGTAGTCAAAAGTCTACATTTAAAGATTGCCATACACAACCCAATGATGCTCTTTTTTAGTAGGGATGTATGAATGCTGTGCATCATGGGATATGATTGTATTCAGGTACTTGTAATAGAATAACAGAAAGAACTTACCTTATGACGAACTTCTTTTACTTTTGTTGAGTCTACTTTAGTCATCAATAAATTCAACTCCCTGTCATCTAGCACAGCATTTTCATTGGATATCATAAATGGAAACTGTTTTTCCTGTAAAAATGGCGTCTTCAGTATATCCAGTCCATCTTCACCATATTGGAATTGTACCACACTTCCATCACTGTCACGTACCTGTGATAGATAAAATTATAGACTTATAAAGTGTTAAATCATTTGAGAACAAGTCATTGTCAATGACATAGTCCCCTTAATGTTTTTAGTGACTTTGTCAAACAATGAAAAGCATAGTCAGATTATGTTTAAATACTAGTATTTAGCATATTAACTACAAATGTGCATTAAACAGGTATAAAGACTAAGTTTGAATGAAATTGATCAACGCATGCCCCAGAAAATTTTAATGACAAAAGTTAATTTTTGGGACAATTAATGGCTGCCAGTTGAAAGTCAACAAAATAAAACAAAGCGATATCTGTACAATCATCTCTGTAAAATGAGCAGAAAACTTATAAAAAACAAAATGGCCACCAGTCTGCCATTTTGAATTGAATCACGAAAAAAAATGACGTGCATCAGTAACCAACCATGCCTGATGTCAATGCAAAGCTTAAATGAAATTGGTCAAGGTATGTCCAAATGTTGATTTTTGGTGTTTTTGGGGACAAAAATGGCCACCAGTCGAACAAAGGTCAACCAAATCAAAAATTATTCGATGTTCACGTCTACCATTATGACTTGTCTTTTAGAAGAAAATCTTTCCAGGCGTCTCTGAGACAAACACACAGACAGACCCCAAAACATAAATCTCCATTTCAGACTAATTGTGACTAATTTCAATGGTCAGACATGCATGTGATCAGGCTATGTGACTCTTGTTGGCCTAAATATTGTTCCATTCATGACGAAAAAATCAGTATCGACTACACCTGCTAAAAATCTCTGAATTTTGAGGATGTAATGACATTTGTGAAAACAAAAGTTCATAAAAGTCAACCACAGAGAAATATTTACTTCTACAAAATTTCACTTACTTGAATACATTATGTATTTTGGAATAGTGATCTTTAATCTCAAGAAAATGTTAAAAGTACTGAACAGTGTAACATGCCTGTTTATATAATAGGTATACATTCAACTTCATATCATAATTTCATCATGTGTCATTTATAGTAAAGCACTGAGTGGTTTCTGTACTTACAGTTAAATCATATCCGACAATCAATCCCTCTAAATGTTTGATCAGACATCTTTGTAAGTATCCACTCCTACTGGTCTTGACAGCAGTATCTACCAAACCCTGGATAATGTATATCCAATATTAGTCGTGATCACATTTGGATCTCATTATAAAAATTAAACTTACGTATCTATAAAACCTGATTCAAAGCATTGAAAAGATCAAATGCAGACAAACTATGTGAAATATGTTTTCAAGACCACAGAATTACTTCGTTCCAGTGATTGGTTGTGAATCACAAAAAAGTATGTGTCACTCACTGATAATTATACCATCTCATAAATAGAGTCATACTATCTCATGAATAATCAAACCATCTCATGAATATTCATAAAATTCATGAATATTCATATTGTATCATTGATATTCACAATGCCATGCAGTCAATGATGTCTTTAATTTTAAAGTGAAATTAAATCTTACATGTACTTTGTGCTTGCTTGTTATATTATTTACGACAAAAAAACAAATACCGCTCTTAATTTAACTGATAATATCACCAACTGGGTAGGCCAATAACAGTCACTTTGGGATTCTAAAATATGAGCTTCAATACAATGTTTATACAATTGTATGCTGATAAAATGATGCATTCACATGCACTTACCTCTCGACCAGCCATGCAATGGAAATAGTATTCCTGAGGTCTGATACCCGTTAAAAAACGACCATCAACAAAACCACCGGCCCTTGGAGACGTATCATATGGTAGGAACGATGGTAATGATCGACCGCTTATCATTAATGGTGGCCGTCGACCTTCTAACTCAATCTGACCCAGTAAGCAAGATATCTGCATACAGTTTACCTAGTGATAAATAAATTATACATATACAGTGATTTCCTTGTTGCCTACCACACCTTAATGAGTTTTATAGAGTGACCAAGTATGCCAACATCATATCAGTGTATTTATACACTGGTACAATTTAAGGCGTTTGGGAGGGAAGGAAAGAAGGTTAAACCTAGTTTCTTTTTTAGTGTTTCTACATAGAAAGTGGTGTACTTTATGTGGGAGAAGTGGAAAGGGTGGTCCCAAAAGTATAGCTCCTCTACAACACTCCCTCCTTCTTACTAAGAACACTAACATGTACCAGGCTGAGAGATACTGGATTCAGTTTGTGGCAGTAAATAAACAGCAAACTCTTATTAAAATGACGTAACTAAATAAATTATATAACTTTATAAAGTGTATTTTCCTTGATAAAAAAAATAGTCAGATTTTACAAATCCAATTATTTTCCTTGATATTAGTTTGTATATTTTGTATTTTATTTTTCAATGCAAATTCAAGATGTCATGGTTAATTGTTGTGTACAACCACGTACATTAGTCAAATATCAATAGTCAAAATTATGAGAGATTTTTATGTTCAATAAAAGGGTATAAAAATGTCGCTGCAATAAAAAATAAAAAACTGGATCTAGGTGTTTTTATCACAGTGTAAATTTAATTCACTATATAGAGTTAGACATACTGTTATTTAATAATAATTGAATTTCACGTATTAAATTAACATGAAAATTACAAGCCTGTGAGGTTAAATGATAGATGTGAAAATTAAAGCAGAAAATAGTTGTCAGAAGACAACTAATTAGTCTGTCTTCAAGTACCTTCTCTCAAACAATTTATAGTACATACCAGTGAAATGATATTAATTGAGTGAGGTCTACATCTATCACCCCTTCTGAAAGATTCTGAGTTAACAAATATTTGGCAGATGAAGGATATACCCTTAAACCATGGCAACTCTAGTTAATTTTAATGGAATCACTACCATACCTGTGAGCCCTTAGCTCCTGCCTGTACCATCAATTGTAAGTTATTCTCTGGAAATCTCTTCAACAATCCATTTGGCATACAAGCTTTATTCACATTGTTTGTGATTTCATCCGTTTTACTTTTCATACACAAATCAATTTCTTTCATATCTTCTCCATCAGCACTTGTATGTGCTGAGTGATAAGACTCCAGTAACGTTCCAGTGTCTGTGGAGTCTTCAACATGCAATGCCTTGGACACAACCGCAGGTCCGGAAGCAGCTCCTTCAACCAGAGTCTCTCGGCGTTTAGCATCGGCCTAGGAGAGTAAATAATTCAATTTTTAAATTGACGCTGGGTAAGTTTTATTAGTAAGTAATTAGTCAGGAAATGTAATTATTATATGATGTATAAGAAACACCATGTGATAATAATATAATGTGATATACCGTAATAATAATAAACCCATAGTTTTAGTACAAGATGTGTAAACTGTACAAGGGCATTATCGAGTGAGAGTTTAGAACAACAAAATATGATAAAATTGAAAGATTCAGATTTGTATTGCCCTATGTACAGCACTACCGGTAAATAGAAGTTAATTTACATAAATACAAAAACGTTATTGTATGCTTGTCATTTACATTTGAATAATCAATTCAAGATCAGATTTAAAATTTTTGTTTTGTACAGAAAACTGTAGTTATTGCATATGTAGCTGACGAAGTGCACTGAAACTTCACGGCATCTTTTGTTAACAGCGCCCTCTAGTGTTAGTCGTAATCGGTACAAAGACTGAGTAGTTTTGTTAAATAGCTTCTTATTTCATACAATTATTTTATGTTAAATTATTATTATACTGTAGGAATAGATATTTTGTATTTATAGGGCAGATTTATTGTCTTGCACGAGTTTTTTGTTGCGTATTACCGCAGATTGTTTGTCAGATGAGGCAACAGCAGCCATGTTTCCATGGTTATTCGTAACGTTGAACGCCATGGACGCAATTTCGCCGATAATCTCTCAGAGTACCAACTAAATAGGCCCATGAGCTAGATCTTAGGGTGTTAGTATATTTAAGTTGAAGATGAAATTAAAGAGATATGCCACATCAGTCAAGAATGTGATCGCCTGTATTTAGTATATTTGTTGGTGCTGCCACAGCATCTTCATACAAGTGTGGCTAGTTTACAATTTGCATAAATACAATGAGATTACTGAAATGGGAAGGTAAGTGGTAGAAAACAAGACATGACATGTCATGTCATAGCCCCCGCTCAGAAAAAAATTTTAAAACTTATATTGAACTTAGTTTGTGTCAGAGTGAATTAATTCATTATGAGCTGTAATAAAATTCTGTTATTAAATGTTCAGAATTGATGTGTTACAATTTTAGGGGTGGGGTAAAAATATATTCATTTGGCTTTTCTGAGACAATTTATAACTTGTTAAACATATAATGCGATGTGCACTTGTAACAATTATTACCTGTCCCTGTACCAACTTTGAACAAAACTGGATGACACACATCTGAGAAAAAGCTGTTAACAGCTAGAAAAAGCTTGTTTTTTTTAGATTTTTGAGGGAAAAAATGGCCTCCAAGTCGTAAAACTTTATCCAATCA